CCGATCCTTGATGAATGCACCCTGGCTCTAATCTACGAGTTGAGGCAAAATCTTCATTAGTCTGTCACAAATCATCTTTAAAATACACTTATACAGTGTATTACAGCACGAAATTGGTTAAAAGTCAGCAGCTGTCTGAGGAACTTCTTTTTTCGGGATCAAGGTAATCAGCGTGGCATTCAACTGCTTCAAAAGGCTACTAGTCCTAAAGAATTAATTCCAGGACTGCCTCGCTTGTGTGTTTGCCAATTATACTCCACGTCTTCTTGTAAAAACTGCTGTTATACCCATCAGGCCCAGGGCTTTTGGAATCATCTATTGAGAACATTGCTTTTTTCACCTCCTCTGCAGTGAAATCCCTTATCAACTCCATCTGTTGCTCAACAGTCACCTTTGGTCCGATTTTACAAGCTTCTCGATCTATTTTTTCCCTTGTTACTTCTTTTCCCAGCAAATTCTGATAGAACTCAAGAAAATGTGTTTCAATTTCATTCCATTCTTCTATCCACTGCCCATCCCCATCCCTAATTGATAGGATACGACTCTTCCTTTGCTTCTACTTCAATCCTGCATGAAAATAAGCAGTATTTAGGTCGCCCTGTTTAATCCACGTCTCCTTAGTTTTTTTGTTTCCAAAAACTAAAAGCATTCTTGCTGGCCTCCATATAATCCTGTACCGTAACTTTTTTCCATCTCTTGTAACGACACATTGCATGGTTCCAACTTAAGCTCACTCCGTATTTTTTCCATTTTCATTCTGGTAACCTGGATTTGCTCATCAATATTGGCAAACTTCCTCTTATTAAGCTGCTTAAGAAGAGGCTTCAACTCCTTCTGATTCTGAACCAGTTGATATTGATAGCTGCCATATCTTGTTTTATTCCACACCCCCTTGACTATCTTCAAATACTCTAAATTTGCCCACATATTAAAGAATCTGAAACTCCTTTTTACTGCCATACCGGCGAGTTCCATCTGATCACCAATGGAGAGTGATCTTAGACTCCAGCAGGAAGGAGATTCACATAACTCTCCTCGTACTTCTTTAGCTAGTTGTTAACCAAAACTCTATCCAACTTTGCACTGATTCTATGAGCTCCAACCTGTTTATTGCACCAAGTGTAAGCTCCCCATAAGTAGTAAGCTCACAGACTTGACATTCCTCTATGGCCATTTTCATTTCTCCCACATTTTCCATTGTAACAGGCATGCCACCAAGTTTTTCTTCCTGACACAACACTGTGTTAAAATCTCCCAATATGATCCAGGGTTCAGTGATGTTCTGACCCAGTTCTACTAACACTTGCTACAACTCAGACCGTTCGCTCTTCTCATTAGAACCATACACTAGAGTCAGGAGAAACGTTCTTTTGCAGACCTTATCTTCCACAACACAGTGAATAAGTTGTATGCCTCTTTGTATACATTTTACTATGACCTCCTCCTTCTTCTAAATGAGAAGGAGTCTGTTTCCGTCCTCATTATGATTATTCCCCAGGTACTCAAACCCTTGCCACCATTTTTCCATCATCTCCTTTAGTTTATCTTGCTTTAGCTTGGCTTCTACTACTCCTATTATACTAATATCATGCACAGAGATCATTTTTGTGAGTTCTCTATGCTTTAGGGGGTTGTTCAGCCCCTTGGATTCCACACTACTAGGTTACTCATGGGGGTAGAGACCCCTGAACAACCTTGCTCTGCCCTTCTTTACTGATCCACAACCTGTAGTCCATCACAGGATTCCCATTATACACCATTCTGTTATCCCCATTCTTAGTTTCCTCTCTACCCTTAGATGGTATAACCACAGACTGAGAAGTTCCTGGACCATGATCAGCTGGTTCTGCACTGTCTGAATCACTTTCTTAGGCCTCCACACTTGCTGCATCTTTTGTCTGCATACACTAGTTTCATGACCATAGCCATGGCAGGTATCACACCTCACAGGCTTCCATTCGTACACAATCTCTTGCTCATTGACCACTCCAAATTCATCCTCAAACCAGAGTTTGTCAGAAAGTTTCTCTTTGATCTCCATTTCCACCAAAACCCTGGCATAACCAAGTCTCAACTTGTTTGCAGTCATGCCATCCATCTGAATTGGTGTTCCCACTGTGCTTGCAATCCTACTAGTGAATTGGCATTCCAATACTTAAGCTTCAGTCCAGGGAGCTTGATCCAGATTGGGACCTTCAATATGTCTTCCAGCTAAAACCCTTCCTCCACTTTCCAATCCTTGACAATCAAGGGTTTGTTGTCAAATTGATGATACTGCTACTTCATCACAGCCTCTTTCCCAGCCATATTCGTGAATCTGACAACAAAGACCCCATTCGACAGCAATAATACTTTGTCAACTCCAAAACGCCCCCAGTTCCTCCTAACATACCTATTCATGATACTGAATAGAGGATGACTACCCAGTACACAGCAGACCAGAGAAATCCTCCAATAATCAATCTCTTCATCAATATCCTCTTTCAAAATTTTAGCAACTTTCTTTTCTGCTACAACCTTAGGACCCACAAATTGTAATTTGGTCGGCAAAGCCCTCATTTTATCAACATCAAATTTTGCCCAATTCTGATCCAATTTCCCCTTCCCCTTTTCAATTTCACTAGGCTCAAATTTACTACCCGACACTACACTTTTCTGATTACAGAAATCCTCCAATACAGAATTAGCTCGATCTGACAAAGAAACCAAATGCGAGCTTACAAGACTCACCGGATCGCAGACAGCCACCAGATCTGGTTCTTTCTCCACCGCGTTGGACGATTCCGCAACCCCTCGCACAGATGTTCTCCCTGCCTTCAGAGGAGGCTTGACCACAACTTTCTTTCCCTTAGCTTGTCTAGCCATGGCAGATACGCAGAACGTATCGACCTGGGAGAAGCGATTAAGAGATCGCACACAGTTGAAGGTTTTTTCGCCCACAGTCTAAGAGACAGAAAGCTTTTTGGGTAAATTTTCTCTCTTTTTTTTAATCTGTTGAAATACGTAGTTTTTTTTCTATTAAACTACCGTCTTACTCTCCCGTCCCACAATAATAGTCCATATTGATTTTTGAGTTTTGTACTATTTGTAGTACAAATTTGAAAACTCGATGTGAACTATTTTTGTGGGACAGAGGTAGTATAAAAATTATAAATAGACGTAAAATTTATTGTGCACGTCAAATTGATGTTTGAAGATTATAATCCAAAAATTCGTTAAACTTTAACATTGAATTTTTAAATGACGTAAAAAATCTTTCTATTTTTTTTCGTATGAATGTAAAATGCTGAAATACTCCTAAACTCTAATCCCTTCTCTTTCCCTCTTTTTAAGATATATGAACCAGGAATAAGAATACACTCACTGCTTCATATCATACCGGTTCCATTTCACAACTGCAGGAGAAAATGAATTGCAGAACCACCATTTTCTGAGTCAAAGACATACACTTGAAGTTTTTCCGGGGTAGCTGCAGTGGTCGATGGACCCTGCCTATCCCCTGCTAGTTCTGGTCCAGAAATATAAGTTATCGAGGTAGGTGAGAACCTGTAGGTGCACGTTGGATAACCTTTTTCTTAGTACACAATATCATGGTTTTCACTCCCAAAAATGATGGCGCAAGTGGCAAAATGGGAATTAAAAATGGTATACAAATGAAAGTATGAAACTTGAAATTTGAAGTGAAGTAGGTAGAGAAAACTACCATTATGAGTCTTGAAACCAAGATAAGCACGTGACCACAAGTTCCAGGACATGTTGTGTCATGCATGCATTCTGGTGTAATTGGTTCTTTAATGAAACAAAAATTAAAATAAAATAAACTTGTTTTTTCACAAAACCAAAGAAAAATGATTAATCAAGCCCACCTTACTGTTGAAATCATTAATCCCAAATGTTTGGTTTACTTTCTTGAATCATAATTGCAACATAACCAATCTAGCCAAGTAAAGGAATTAAGGATAGACTTTGCAAAAAATGATAAGAAATCATGATATAGAGCTTTGCTTTCGTAGAGCCCAAATAATATTCCACCAAGGCGAAACTAAACCTTGAAAAGTTATCACCAAAGCTGAAAAACTCAATCAGATCTTTACATTGCTGAATTCAAAACAAATAAAAAAAAATTTTTGCGACATTATTAATGTATAAAACTATTGTTAAAAGGATTTCACCGAGAAAATTTATCTGTTAGTACGCCAATGCCTCATTTTCCTCTGTTTCTCTTGTTCTTTTGTTCTCCACCAATATTGTAAACTATCAACAATCAGTAGACTTTTTTTACTGTATGTTGAAAGAATTTGAGAAAAGTGATTTAAAAAAAGAGAAAATGGTATAAAGAGTGGAACGTGGGGGTTTAAGGTTCAGGGGGTATGCTAGTCTTTTTTCACAAATTGCGCGAAATAAAATCAAGTTGCGCTTAGTAATTGTTAGATGTAAAACTCACCAAATATATATATTTTTGTCAAAATTTTTGTGTCGACTTTGTCAAATTAACTAAAAAGAGGAGATGAGGAAGTCGACGAAAGTAAAAAACCAATGTTCCGTATCAATTCACTCATTTCGAAATAGAAGTTAAATCAATTGCCAGCTAATTGAACTTTTAGTTTTTGTAGTCAGTGAGGTAGTTATTTTTAGCCTTTTAGATCCTGCTTTGTTTTCACCTTCAAAACAAACTCATGCAATTCTTTCCTTCTACCACCACAGGCATCATCGAATTCATTTTATTATAAGGGAATACTTTCCTGATTGAAAACTGCTAACATCTATTTCAAATTCCTTTTACTTGTTTGATCCACACAAGATGGAGAATCAGAAGATTAGGATCAAGAAAGATTCCTCTGTCTGAAAACTTTTCGGCAACATTACGAGGAGAATACTCAGTTCTAATAAGGTACGAAATGTCTCTTTGGATTAAATTCTCACTACTAATTTCTGACATAAAATATAACACAAACGATTTTTCCATAAGAGGCTAGCCAGCGTCGTTGAATTCCGAGAGCGTTACATTCGGATGAGATCATGAGAATGATAAAGAATATTAACAATGTAACGCACAAGAAATTCATTTTTGAGGAATGTAATCAAACAAATAGAACATATTATATTTATTACTAAAGTAGGAAGTTTAAGGCGCAATGCACACCAAATTAATTTCCTTTCTTAGTTTCTTTTCCAAAAGCAGAAATTTTCGAACACAAACAATCATGAAACAAATGAAGCCGATTGTCTAGGCCAAATGCAACTCCACGAAGGATTCAAGTGTTTTAGTGGCGTCGAGCGCGCGAAGAACATGAGCCAGAAAGTATGCAACATCGCCGTTTTCCTTATCTGCGCCAATAACAAGACTTAAATCGGCGCCGGCCGAAACCAGCTCTTGTTGAGCCCTAGCTACCTCCCTGAATTGGAGGTTGGTGCTATCAATCCTGTTGTGCTCCTGGATTGCGAATTTCCCGGCATCAACAACTTCAGGAGCCTTTGGATCTAATTTCTCGAAAAGGGCGAGGGTTGGTGGATTGTAGGGAGTCGGTGATATTCTGGCTACGGCTACGGCTAGCATCATACTCATCAGCAGCAGCAGGGAAGATTGAAATCCATATTGAGCCATTTTTCTTCTCTGCGTTCCAACGAAGGCCGGATGTTATAGTTTGTACAAGTATAAATGTTTAATGAAATCTTTTGTATGAATTTGATGCTTATGTAATGCACGTATATATAGATGAAAAAGGTGGGTTTAACAAGTTGAAAATTTTCCCAATAAAAATCTTTGCATTTAATGAAAATTACGATGTTTTCTTAATAACTTAGATTCTAACTAAATCACTGTCATTGGCAATCAATTCCTAACTAAATAATCTTTGCAAAAGTCGAAAATGGAATTGTCAAAATAAATCAACATAATTTATTGGCAATCAATTCCTAACTAAATATAATTTTTGGGATTAGATTTTTTCATTTGATCCTTATACTTAAATAAAAGGCACAGTAGGCAAGAAATAATACCCAAGAAATATTCAAGGACTACCGTCAAATCGATCTTGTCCGTCGGATGGGGTTGATGTGATCTCAGCAACTTATTAAGGACAAAAACGGGAATTCAATTCTGTTTATTCCAATTAAAAAAACCCGTAACCTTTTGGAAAAAACAAACCCCTAACCTATAAAAGGATGTCGTTTCAGGATTTAATTTTGGAATCCCTACTCCTGAAAACAATATATTTACAAAAATTAAAATTTTTGGGTTAAGAAACAGCAACAAAACGACTTCGTTTTGTGGGTTTCTCTACGGAAAAAAAAAAAAAAAAAAACAAAAAATAAGTCACACCGTTTAAAATCCCAAAACAGCCCCGTCATTGTTCCCAATTTTTTTTCCCACTAATAACCTCCATAAGGCTGTGCTCCGCCTACTCAGTCAGATCCCCCTTCGTCGATTCAGCCGCCACTGCCGCATCCCTCTCTGCATCCTCCGCCACCACTAAACTTCGAAGATATATTGTCCTTAAACATGCTTCTCCAATTCGTACCATCCCAATTCCACCTCCACAAATTTAACCAAACAAAAACTCTAAGTTCCACCAGAGTTACCCCGTCAAAGAGATTTTGCAAGAATGACTTCCTTCACTTGTACGAGATCAAATTCGTGGGGGAGCAATTGCATGTATCGTATCACGGTGGACATCATGACGGAGGAAGCGAGGCGGAGCTAGGTGTTTGGACGGAATAGGATTAGGATATTACCTTTTTATTTGATTTGGAGTTGTATGTGTAATAGGACTAACAAATTACTATTTAATTTTTATCTATATATTTCCATAAATTTGGAATTGTAATATGAATAGGCAATTCAGTTACTCTCTGATTCCGGATTTGTTTTGGGATGAGAATAAAAATCCCCTGTCGGCCAGCATGTTTATAAAAACCCCTAGCAACCTCACAACTAGGATCACAAAAGGCTTCCTTCTTCTGCTTACCAGTTTCTTTGATTTCTTTGTCTTTGATTCAGGTAAATCCTTTTTAACCTTTTAATTTCTATTATTTTTTTACCTCTATACGGTAGAGGAAGCTTGAATATTTGTAAAGATTTTTCTCTGGTTCTTTTCCAAATCCTACAAACAGGTACTAATTTTGATTCCCTTATTTTTTCCAGTTGTGAAGTTGTGAATTTGTTTTTAATTGAGTGAGGTTGTTGATAATTTTAATGGTTTGAAAACTAATAGACTGTCTTGGAAATAGATATTGCAATGGTTCGAGTTGCAGACTCAATTCCAGCCGAATTACATAAAGTCCCCTTCTCTCACAGGATATTAGCACAAGGGTAAGGTAAATGTTTCTAATTTCTTTTTCCTACAATTAAAGGGTCTGATGGTGTAGGATGTTTGGAATATTTTTTAGAAAAAACTCTAATCACAATGGCTCTATATCCAAAATTTGATTATCATGGGTTTTTTCACTTATTGTTGTCAATAGAAACAATTTATGTTCTGACTTCTAGAATAATTTCTGCTTGTCCTTGGGAGAACGTTTTTAAGGAGTTATATTATTCTCTAGAGGTAGATCATAGCTAGACGAGAGGAAGCCGAAAAGTTTCGACTTGTGGCATGAGATTCAGTCGGAGGTTCTTGGAGAGGCAAAATCATGTGTTAGAAAATAGATTTTGTTGTGTTCCGATTTTGTGGGATTAGCTTTACCTTTCTAGACTGGTGTATACATAGGTGAACTACATTATTGCTCAAGGTAGATAAATATATATAAACTTTTCCAGGCATTGAGCTCTTTTGTGGGTTTTACATTGTGCATGTGATTCTTGATGTTCTTCTGCTATCTTTCAGCACCACTGATGATAACACTCAGAGCCGATACCTTTTGGCTAATAGATAACTAATCAGGATAAGTTTCTCATGTTAAAACTTTTGCCTGAGTTTCAATGATTAATTCCTCATACAGTTTATTCAACAAGTCATAGGACTTATATAGTGATTCATTTATGGTTCTTTGACAGTTCAGTTAGATAATTTTTTCTGTACATAAATAAATTTGATATAGTCATTGGATGTTATTCCTCTTCTGCTAACATGAGTTTTATTTTGAGATTACCATAGATGAGGCTTCCATGTCGGTTATTTATTGGAACTTCTCTTCCTCACACAATGTATAACTTTTAACATGCCTATCAATGAAGTAAATCTTTGATCACTCAATTGTCCAGTATAGTTTTTGAATGGTAGAGTACTTAAGGTTTTGGGTACCTGTGTTTTGCATCATTGGTAAGATCTGCTTGTCCTTTTGTTAAAAGAAAAGTTCAACTTTCTCTACCAAGTGAACTGGTAGCAATGTCCAAGTTGCTGCTTTAGCAGAATCTAGAAATAGACTGCATTGCGGTATTCTATTGTTATTTCATGTGATCTTTTTTGTTTTTACTGAAGAACTTACAATCTCTAAGTTATAATATTACTAAATGTTAATGGTTTCCTCTGTCTGCAGATTCCGATGTATGATTGTCTCAAGAATTTGTATTTTACGTTTCTTTTTGTTATTTGAGCTACTGAGAATCTAATAAGGATCACCACAGTCCTTGATTTGCTGCCTGCTTTACAATCCAAAACTTCTAGCTCTCTGTCCACTTCCGTTTGGTGAAACTAAGTTGTGGCAAGGCTAAAGTGGATGTGAACTGAAGTAGTAGATTTAGAAGCAGTTCGAGAACATCAGTGCGCTAATGCACTATGTTAGATGATAGAAATGTTGCCTGTGCGAAAGTTACAGGTTCTTGGCCGTGATATAACAATCTAGAGTTTGGCAAGTAAAAAAGAGGCCAAGTGATATTGGTACTATCCCCTGCTGAGTACTTGAAACTTCTTGCCTCCAGCTTGAAACAACAACCTGATAGAATAATTGGGAGCTTGGCTAGGATGAGATTTGATAGCTTTCTGTGTCTGAGAATTGAGTTGTGATAAGTAACTTAATAGTCCCCTTAGTTTTTTGTTCTGTTTTTATTTGTGAAATACTACAAGTCCAACAATTTTGGCCCTCACTTTAGATACGATGTTTGAGTTAAAAGTTTATTATTGCTATTGAAAAATAATCATCTGTTTCCTGTCATTAAAGTAACTTATGCAACATTACCAACTTTCTTTGACTGAAGAACTTACAGTCTCTAAGGTAGATTGCTAACAGTGATAGAACAAAAGCTATCAAAAGCAAATTTTAGTTTTTGACTTTTTGGCTAATTTTATCTAAAGTTACTCACACCCTCTAACTTTGCAAGTAAATTATCCATGCGTCAAAATTGAAATTGAAAGACCATATCATCGAAAAAAAATAAAAATAAAAATTGAAAGACCACAAAATTAAAATAAATCAACCTACCTTTTCCAACACTTTCATGGAAGCGCATGATATATTACACAAGTACTAATTTGGTCTTCTATTTTGTTCCCTTGCTTTTTGATAGATTTCTTAATCATTTTGTAGGATTCTATATGTATTAGGATAAGCAACGTAATAATCCCATCAAAAGAAGTATACTTAACAAAGTCCTATAAAAGCATGTATCTACAACTATTACGCGTTAAGATAAATTATTACTAATATTTATCGTAATAAAGTTAAATGATTTTTAAAAAGCACTTGTCGCGCAACGTGCGACATGTAAAAGACTAGTTAATATAAAAACGAAAACATAAAGATTTAAATATCTCATTCAAAACAACATGCAAATCTTACCAAATCTTATAATTAATTTTTACCTATTGAAAGCAGCTGCACGTGGAAGATTCTCACGTAATATTTTCCCGCCTAAAGTTCCTGGCATCAAATCTATTTTTACGTATATAATTTATACTAGATGTTAAACCCATCCGTTGGACGGGTATATAAATTTAAATAAAAATAACAAAATAGAGAATATTTGTATTTTTTACAAATTTATTCAAATATTAAGCAATAATTTCTCTATATTCGTATATATACAAACATTGCTAAGTATTGAATGTAGTATTATTTTATTATGTCATTAAAATAGAAGATAGAGTAACAATGACACAACAAAAATATTTTATTGAGTATCACAATACTAAATTTAAACATCAAATAGAACATAGAGGAGAACAATAACCACAATGGCACGATGACCAATTATAAAATCTATAAAAATATTAATTGATATGATTGTTACAATGTGACTACAAATAAGAAGTTTTAGTAGACGAATCAATAATATCTTACATCCTCCCTTTGGTATTAGTGGGAGAATTGTTTGAAATCATCTTCTAGGATGACATCTTTACCACCAAAAGCCCAAAAGGTCTCTTAACATTAATTATATAAATTAATCGGAGGATATCTTTTAAGGATTTGTTAAAAGGTTGAAAATTATATTTGTAAATTATAGTTGTTTCATTTTATATTATCAACCTAGTATATTTCAAGGAAATGGCCAGGTCGCTATATATCAGGTATATTATTGTATAGACTAAATTAAAATCTTTAATACGTAATCCTATCTACCGACAAAATTAAGCAAATATACAATACGCTCAATGCCTCGTAAGTACAATATTACCTTTACAACAAAAAACAACTAATAATGTAATTCACGTAAATATTTTCTCATACCCCTATATCCGTAAAGGAAGAACAATCTCCCATTCATTTCTGACACTTGAAGTTGAAGATATTTGAAGTTAAAAATCATCATTTAGTTGTTTTATTT